TTTCCCTCCATGGAATCACCCCTCACACACACACACACACACACACATATTCCACAGACCCCACTCCCACACTCCAGAGGCAGACGTATGATCAGTGCCTAGCAGTACAGTGACTGGGCCAAATATGGAATGCTCTCTCTCTCTCTCTCTCTCTCTCTCTCTCTCTCTCTCTCAGGTCTCAGAAAGCTGGCCTTGAACTCACGATCCTCCTGTCTCATTTCCTGAAAGCTGAGATTATAAGTATGTGCCACCATACCTGGCCTTAGCTACCGCCATCACATCAAGGGGGAAGAGTGACTGGTGATGAAACTGAAGAGACACAGACAAACATACACTGAGCTCCTGGATCCAACCTTGCTGAAAGTCATTTCAACTAGACTCCCAACTCAGGAGTCCATAAACTCCCTTTCTGGCCAAAAACCTGTAGACTTGGTTCTGTCCCTAAGAGTTATAACCAAGAGGCTTGACCGGGCATAAGGAAGTTGCACACAAACAAAGAGACTCGGCAATTTCAAAAATTTTCTTCTAGGAGCTAGTGAAATGGCTCAGAGGGTAAAAGCGCTTGCCACCAAGTCTGGAACCCACACAGTTGAAAGAGAACCAACTCCTTCCTGAGAGTGGTCCTCGGATCAGCCATGGCACACAAGCTCTCTCACATGTGTAAATAAATGTAAAAAAACACACAACTTTTCTTCTAGAGCTTTAAGGAATTAGGATATTCTGGTGCCTGCTGTGTTAGGGGCCCAAGAGCATCTGATTCAAACAACAGTCCTGTATTTGAATTCTGACATGATGATTTTCCTTTTTTTTTATTTTAAGACAGGATTACTCTATGTATCTGTCCTGGAACTCATTACATAGACCAGCCTGGCCTCTCAAACTCACAACAGTCCTCTGTTCCTGAATGCTGGGATTAAAGGTGTCACCATGCAACTTTACTCTCCTTATGAACAGAACAGAGGGGGCTGTTGCTTGGATTAAACAGGATATTTATGTGTCACATAGTTGACTATGGCACTGGGTAACATTACCGCCAGTCTTTGTCAAGCTCGGAGTGATGGCTTGCTGTAGGTCAGATACCAGACAGCAACAGAGCAAGGACCTGGGCCGTGGAATCCTGACTCCCATCCATCGCTCTTTCTACTCTACCTGCTTCTAAAGTGAGAGGTTCCCAGGGCAACCAACATAAAAGAGCAGCCAAGGCCAACAAAAGACATGAATCTGCCTTGTGAAGAAGTTAAGAGTACAGACTTGGCCAGGTATAGTGGTGCACAACTTTAATCCCAGCACTAGGGAGGCAAAGGCAGATCTCTGTGAGTTCGAGGCCAGTCTAGTCTCTAGAGTGTTCCAGGACAGCCAGGGTTAAATAGAGAGATCTTGCTAGCCAGCTCAGCAGGGAAAGGTGCTTGCCTACCAAACCTGATGACCTGAATTTGATACCCAGGACCCTAAAAGTACAGAGAGAATCATGTCCCACAAGCTGTCCTCTGGCCATGTCCTCTGACCCACACACATGCACATAAACATATAAATTTATATGTACACAGCGGGGGCTTCAAGACAAGGTTTCTCTGTGTAGTCCTTAGGCTGGCCTGCCTCTACTTCCCTGAGTGCTGGGACTAGAGGTGTGGGGCACCACCCCCCACCTTCATGATGTCTTAATGAGATAACACTGACCTTCCTGTTTCTAGGCTCACCCCCTTATTTTTATTTTTTTGTGGTTCTGGAGCCACATTGACTGGCAGTAAAAACTCCAGATCTTTACAATGGTTTACAAGGTCCCAGTGATCCCTGAAGCAAGACATTGAAAAAGGCTTCTTCCTGTGCTGGGAAGGATGGGGTCAGGTTTCCAGTGATGTAAGGCAAGAACTGATTAAATCTATAGCCCCAGCATCTATAAGTGAGCTTCTGTGATTTGTATCACAGGCCAGGGGGCCAGGTACATACTGATCTCTGATTGATGGGCAATGCACGACCACCTAAGCACTAAGCCCTTGAGAAGACTCAGCTTTCCCCAGAGTCCAGCGAGGCCCCAGGAAATGTAAAGCAAAGGCCAAAGAAAACAGACCTTTCCAAAGTTCCAGGCATTACCCTAGGGCTTTTTGTAGGTGAAGGGGGATTCCAAAGACCTTTTGCCTGTCCCAGAGTCTGAGACACAGGCTTCCTCTTTTTTCCATTCCATAAAGGGAAAGAGAGGTAAAACACAAACAAAATACATCCCCCCGGAAATAAAGAGGTGCAAAGCTGAAACCCAGAATCCCAGATTTTTAGGCAGATGTAGGAAAACTTTGGCTAATCAGGATTTCCTGATGACAAAAAAAAAAGTCCCTCCTATTGTTAACTTTTCCAGACACACCCACACACACACACACACACACACACACACACACACAGATCCATATCACCTTTGTCTCCTCATAAATGTCTCTCATCAGAATCTCTGTCCTACATACACACAACAGACACCCTGGACTTAGGACACTTTCTTCCCAGAAGTTCAAAATTCTCATGTATGCAAAAAACCAGGCAGACTCTAGATATTTCCATAATAAAACCTAGCACTAACTTTCAGAGTGGAATAACTGTGTGGTCCCAGCTAGTACTTACTTGGGAGGCAAAGGCAGAAGATCTCTGTGAATCTGAGCCCCGCCTGATTTACACAGCCAACCAGGGTTACAGTGAGACAGTGTCTCAAAAACAAAAATAAAAATGTTAAGTGGTAACTCCAGTTCCTGGGTATCTAACACCTTCTTCTCAGCTCTTCTGGCCCCTAAGGGCACCGACACATTCATGGCATACACACGGGACACATAAATAAAACTAATTAGTAAATAAAATAAATGTGCTGGAGAGATAGATAGCTTAGTGGTTTAAGGGCACTGGCTACTGTTGGAGAGGACCTGGGTTTGGACCCACATAGTGGCTCACAACTGTCTATAACTCCAGTTCCAGAGGATCCATCGACACCCTCTCCTGAATTCCTCCAGCACCAGGTACATATGTGGTGCACAGATATAAATGCAAGCAAAATGGGTACCCATATACATACATACATACATACATACATACATACATACATACAGAGAGAGAGAGAGAGAGAGAAATTTTGCTCTAGTCTCTGACACTGAGCCATCCATACCAGACTCAGACCCAACAGCTGACCACCAAGCCTACACCAGTTGGGTGCCTCTCCCGCAAAGGAAGCTCAAGCCTGTTCCAGTTCTCCTAGCTCTAAGGAGCTTCATCATTGGATGCTTCACCACCTCCACTCTGCAGGTCGTTCTACAACCCCTGCTGTTTACCACCTGACAATGGTATCCAGATCAAGTCATAACTCCTCTGTCCCCAACTACCCCAGCATCTGACAAGTCGTGACATCTTCCTCTCCAAGGCAGAATATAACAAATCAAAGGACTCCTTTGCAACATCTGCCTGTCAAGACTTGCTACCTAATTGTTAATTGCATTAATTGCATAGTTCTGTAGTGTCCGGCTCATCCTCCTTGTAGTTTTAAAGGCTAGCCAAAAGGAAGGAACTGTGAACAAAAGTCCCACACTGGGAAGCCTCTTCTCCCACTCCCAACTCTAAGACCCACTACAGACCAATGAGACAATTTTTTGTTGTTGCTGTTATTTTTGTTGTTGCTGTTGTTTTTCGAGACAGGGTTTCTCTGTGGCTTTGGTGACTGTCCTGGAACTAGCTCTTGTAGACCAGGCTGGTCTCGAACTCACAGAGATCCACCTGCCTCTGCCTCCCAAGTGCTGGGATTAAAGGCATGCGCCACCAACGCCTGGCCCAATGAGACAAATTAAGAAGTGGATGAACTCTTCTCCCTGAGGGTGGAACCATGAGGGACTCAAGGCCTAGATCTGTATGCTGGGGAGATCACGAAGGGCTAACAGCCCTGGGGACCTTCCTCCTTGCACATGCCTTCCTGTTCTGTGTCACCAGCATCCCTCTGCACCTCCATCAGGATCGACAGCCTCACTTTAGAAAGACCCATCATAGCGCCCCACAACATCCTCCTCTGGACACCGCAGCAGGGCAGCTCAACTGACAGAATTACACGGACAAGGGAAATGACAACGTGTCTATGCAGGGGTGGAGGGTGTGAGGGTATGAATGATTCCAGGCAACCCAGTGGCTCAAGAGGGAACCATGTGTTGTTCCTCTGGGACATCCCCAAGGTTTCCTGAGTCTCTCCCCAGAGCCACAGCTGAGGCCTCTCTGGACCCCTGAGGAAGGCCCCTCCTGATGGGACCTGGCCAGGATGCCATTCTCTCCAGAGCCAGCTCTTGTATCTACCTTCGACCTACCAGGTGGAAAGCTCTGAGCCAAAGGGTGAGGGTTGGGTGCAGTCCTCTATTGCTGGGTGAGTAGCCAGCTGTCAGCTGACAGATACCTGCCATTCACAATGACAAATTCAGCTTGCAGCAGCCTGCAAACAGAACCACATCAGAACCCCCAAAGACAGGGCTATAACTGTGGTCTCTAACACTTAAGAACTGCCTAAGGGTTCAAGGTAAAAACTACTAAGAACATCTCTCAAAGCGCGGCTGCAGGGAAGGGCTGCCCCTCTAACAGAGCAAGTAGTTGAGCTGCCAGCGGCAGCTGGAGAATAGCAGAGTTGAGGGCGAGCCCTGCGTGGGGGCTGGTCGGATGTCCTATAGTGAGTGTCACTATTTCCTCATGAACACACCTGGAACTCATCCCCGGTGGCCGGAGACCAACTTTCTGCAGCGAAGGGGGAGCGTGGAGCAAAGAGCGGGTGAGAGGGCGGAAGAATGGGGGCTCCGACCGGACGCCCCACGAGGCTAAGGAGCCAAAGAGCTGGAAGATAGGAAGGGGCTGTGCCAGGCCACCCACCATCCCATCGGACGCACAGCCTGGGCCATCCTCTGGGTCCTATCGCCCCACCTCCAAACCTGGGGAAGCTAGATGGGGAAGGCACCGCACGGCAGGTAGTAGCAGAGTTGCGGGACCAGGTGGCCCGGCCCTACCTGCAGCTCCTGAAATTCTCCTTCCAGCTCATGCCACTCGCGCTCGCAACGCTCCAGCTGCTCGGACATGGTGCAATGGTGCAAGGCGGCGGCGGCTCCCGCAGCG